ATTTCCAAAATGTTGCTCTCATATTCATTTATTTAATCGGCAGTTACATTTTTAAAGAGTTTACGCCTCTCTCTTATCGTCAATATCATATTCTCTGTGTTCCAAATCTAATAAAGTAATATCTATTGTGGCATTTGTTTTGTAACATTTGATGTTGAAGATAAATAAAATTCCTTTGAGTAAAACTTGTTGAAAATGTCCAGTTACGAGTTGGTTCCAACCGTAATTACTATAAATAGTTCGAGAAAAAATGTCTCTTTAAATACTTGCAATATTTCGTCTTCACACAGCGATGCAATCGCGATTGTCCTCAATACGTACTGATTGAAGAGTGCCATTGATGATAGCGAGCCGGAATGTAGACTGCTCGAATCTCAAACAAAACTAGACTTGAGGCATTTTGTATGGCGCATTTGATGGCTCAAAATCAGAAAATCATCTGTTCGTTCAGTAGGAAGCAATTAAGAGTATCATGTGATGATGCATGTGGGGATTCGAGACTTTTAAATTGTAAAAAAATGAAGTGCTCATTTTTGGAAAACATGTTTAGATAGTAATGAATAGATTATGGGGATGTGTAAGTTGTTGATGATATTATTCGCAGGTGAATGCTTATCATTTGGTTACGGAGAAATTGAAACTTTCAGTGCTGTATTTAGTCAGTCCTAGGTGTTGAATGGAACGGAACACGGTTACTTCTCGAATAGCTTCTTTTTTTTTCGTTTCCTAATTCACAGTCGAACTATCGTGCGATTGATTCTCGAGTCCACTTGCAAACACAAATACATACATACACATAGCGGCGCAAATGAATGAACGTAATCGGCAATGAGCTGATCACATAATATTTATTCAGTTCTTCAAATAAGAACGATCAATTTCCAATTCCTATACGCTACACATGTTTACGATGTCCTAGTTTCAAATGATTCAAACTGACATTTTATGGTATATCTTGTCGTGTACAGGTGTGTCATGTTCAGATGTGATGTCTTAAGTGTGGCATATGATTTTATTCGGTTTATCCACATAAGTATTCGCATGAATTAGTGCGAGTTTGATATTCTTTGCAGTGATAACGTTCAGTTGACAATTTACAATTATCAATCGAATTCTGAACTGTATTCATCAGCACATACACTTTCGAACATTATTCAATCTACATATTCTTCATTTAAGTGTCTTCAACGTCAGCATTGAACTGTTCAATATCTCATTGTCGTTGTCATTGGTGCAGATATTACTGCCGAAAGCTGTTGATCAATGAAAAGGCGAAGTCAAAGCTGTATATTAGTATCGGTTGTGATCTCAGTACTATGGATCGTTCTGATGACCAACTATATAAGTCGACTGGACTACAGCGATAACGAACGAACAGCCGCGGCGGCTCTGATTAAACGTGAAAAGTTCAATGCAAAATTCTCTTACAATGCTAATGATAAGATAAAATATGATGAAGTGGACGTTATCGGTGATAAAAGGAAAGATGTGAAGAATAAAGAGGTACGGAAAGATGCGTTTGATATGTATGATAATAAGAATGCTATCGGTGGTATTCGAGAAAAAGTGATGTCCGATAAGAGTGTTCGATTATCGAAAGAGATCTCGCCATTGCGATTTGAATCAACAGCGACAAATGTGATTGTGCTGACTGATGGTGGTATCGATAAAAGTATCGCTGGTCAAATGAAGGAGGAACAATTGTCACAGAACCAAATCCCTGAAGTGGATTTGCAGCAATTAGCCATTATTAAAACTGATGAGGACAAGGTGTGTATTGTTTTTGTTTTTCCGTTTAGTGCTTTTATTATAATTGCTATTCTTATCATTAGTTTTATTAATGATGATTATTAATATAATTAATATATCATGATTTTTAATATAATGCAATATAATAATATAAAAATAATATAATATATAATATGATTATTAATTAATAATTAATAATATATAATAAAATAATAATATAATATTGGTATAATCATCATAATAAAATTATGGTGATTATTCTTTTGGTTGTTGTTTTTGTCGTTAGATGTATTAGTTGTATTGTTACCATAGCTC